GGGGCTCAGCAGGGGGCGCCAGGTGTGGGGCACCGGGGGAGCTCAGCAGGGGGCACCAGGCTGCGTGGCACCGAAGGGGCTCAGCAGGGGGTGCCAGGCTGCAGAGAGTGAGTGCAATAGGTGGTGCTGTGCTGCGGGGCACCGGGGGGCTCAGCAGGGGGCGCTGGGGTGCGGGGGGCTCAACAGGGGGTGCCGGGCTGTGGGGCACCAGGAGGGGCTCAGCAGGGGGTGCCGGGCTGCACAGCGCCGGGTGGGAGGCTCACCGGGGGGCGCCGGGCTGCAGGGCACAGGATGGGTGCTGGGGTTGTTTCATCCCCACGGCAGCGAGGCTGCGTCACCTCCCTTCATCTCTCCTTGGGGTTTCCATGGAAACCTTTTAAGCCAACTTCTCAGGGAGACAAATTTCTTTTTTTAAATGCTGAGAGGAAAGGGGGGAGGGGGTATGTTAGTGCATGCGGGACTCTGGGGGGGCCCAAGCCTGAGGAGGGGAGGGGGGAGCTGAGGAGTCAGGGGGGCAGACACAGGACACCAGCCTGACTCCTCCACATTCCCTCCCCCCTCACGCTGCTCTGAAGGGCTGTGGGGTCTAGTGGGTTAGAACCAGGGGCGGGGGGAGGCACTGGGAGCCAGGACTCCTGGGTTCTCTCCCCGTCTCTAGGAGGGGAGTGGGGGCTAGTGGATTAGAGCAGGGGGGGCAGAGAGCCAGGACTCCTGGGTTCTATCCCTGGTTCTGGGAATGAACCCTGCAGCTGGGTGCCTGCCGGCGCCACCTGGGGGCAGGGAATCTCACAGCGCTGCAGGCCAGGATTTCTGCCAGAGGGGTTCCCCTAGCAACTGTAGCCAAGCACCCATGCGTGGCTGCAACTCAGTTGAGCTGCTTATTATGGGATGGTTCTTCTTGCCTCCTTGGCACGGCACCAGACAGCATTTGTGGGGGGACACACACTGGAATGTAGCAGGCTGCAGAAACTGGGAGTGGAGACCCCAATCCCTCCATACCGGCCAGCATCCCCCGCCATAATCCTCCCCACACAGACACCTCCCATTTCCTCCCTCCCCATACAGAGACATCCCAACCCACCCCACACCAGCCAATCTCACCCTCCCAAATCCCCCATGCCATGAGTCCCCCATCCCCCACAACCTGGCCAGCACCCCTTCCCCCATACAGAGACTCCCCCCACTCCATCCCACACCAGTCACCACCTCCTCCCCAATACCCTCATACAAAGACCCCTCAATCCTCCCCACAGCCAATGCCACCCAGCACCACCTTCCCCCATACAGAGCTCCCCCTCTCCAACCCCACCCTATCTTCCCCTACAGGCAGGGAGTTTAGGATGGGTACACACAGCCTGCGGCGTGGGAAATGCAGGGACAATTTTTCTGGGGGAAGCAATAAGGCCCAGTGGAACATACCCTGGGGGCAAAGGAGGGGTGGGTTCACCCAGAAGGAGGCACTGGGTTAAAGTGAGTACAGAGGGGACAGACCTAACCCCCCATCCACCCCCCACAGCTGCCCCATCTCAAAGCTGTCTTGTTCTGAGAGCAGGAGCTCCACCCAGTGGGGACTGGGAGATGCTGCATATTCAACTTGCCCCTGCCCTTACTGTGTAAAGAGGGACCCAGTGCACCTGACCTCATGCCCCTCCCAGAATCCAGGAGTGTCTCACTACAAGATCTGCTTGGATCAGCTGCTGTGGAGTGTTTGAATTACTGGATCTATCAAGGATCTGCTGGTAGATCTTCTAGTGAATTCCCTCCCCCCCAACATTGGTTTAATCACAGGACCGTGGAGATATGTTTCACTGAGATTCCCTGGGGGTCGGGTGCTACGGTTCATGTTTCACAATGGGATGTTCAGGTACTATGGGCCTGCTTCACGTTAGGATCTACAGAGAATTAATGTTCCCTTATGGGATCTGTTGGGCTCAACAGTGTCAGAGCACATCACGGTGGGATCAAGTAGGGCCATGAGTCTGTGTGATCTTGAGGTCATTAGGTGCCACAGGGCACATGTCTCTGGAATCTCATGGGCACCAGGCACAGAGGAGAGAGTGTCTTTGGGATCACATGCCACAGAGCATGTTGGCTGTGGGATCTAGTGGGGCTCATGAGGGAAGTCTCTGTTGGATCTTGTGGGGACAGGGGACTGCGAGGCATGTGTAACTGTAAGATCTCAGGGGATCAGGCACGGTGGGGGGTGTCACTTGGGAACTGGGCACTGCAAGGTGAATATTTCTGTGGGATCTAGGTGATGTTTGCTGTAGAATCTATTGGGAGCAGGCACCCTGGGGTGCATGTCTCTGTGGGATTTACTGGGAATCAGGCACCACAGAGCAGGTTGGTGGTGAGATCTAGTTGGATCATGAGGCAAGTATATGTGGGATCTATTTATGGAACATGTGTCTGGGGGATTGGTTGGGATTGGGCATTTATTTCTGTATTTGCATGGGGAATGGGTGCTGGGGTGCGAGGAGTAGTGACCGCAGACCATGCACATCTGTGGGAGCTACTTGGAATTGGGTGCCATGGGGCACGTGTCCCTGCAGGATCAAGTGGGTTCATCCCTGTAGGGTGCTGGCTGGCCATGCCCTACTGTAGCCTGTCCCAGTCCCCACTCACCCCACGCCACGCCCCTGACTTCTTCACCTCATGCAGTGCCTCAACCCCCACTTCTCCACCCAGTGGCCCCCCCAAGTCCTCACCCCATGCTGCAACTACCAGTTCTCTACCCCGTGCCCCCCCCCCCGAGTCCTCACCCCACACTGTGACCCCCACTTCTCCACCCCGTGCCCCCCACAGTGCAGCGCCCCCACCCTCCAGTCCCTGCCCCCCTGCCGTACCGTGCTCGGGCCGCCCCTCCACAGGGACGCTGACCGTGCGGCGCAGCAGCTTGGTCCGACAGGGTTCGCTTCGCCGTTCCCTCATCAGCAACGGGTGGATCTGGAGATGGGGGAGGGGAGAGACGGGGGTTAGTGTTGCATGGGGGCACCCCCTCTTTAACTTCCAACACCCCATCCCTCAGGTCCCCGCCTCCCCCATTGCCCCCCAGCTGCCTGTGTCAGGGCAGGAGTGCACAGAGTGACAATCCTCAACCCCTGAGGCTGTCCCAGGTGTGGCTTTATCCTGGGGGGGGGGGGGCCGCGGGGGGGTGGTACAGCATTATCCCAGGGGACCAAGAGGGAGCAGGCTGCATAGCACCCCAGCACCAGGACTGCAGCCTCCCCCCAAGACGGGCTCAGAAGAAGCCCTGCCCCAAGCTCAGGGGCAGGGGACACTGCGTCATATTCTAGGGAGACCTCTCAGCTGGGGCAGGTCTGGGACCAGGAGGGAAGTGAGAGCTCTGGGTGAGGGGAAGGGGGGGGGTCGCTCTGTGCTTGAGAGACAGGGGAGGGGGTGCTCCAGGAGGGGAGGGCAAGGGGTAGGGGATCTCTGCTCTGGGTGGGTGGGGGGGTCCCTCTGGGGTCCCTGCAAGCTCCATGCTCTCCCTCAGCTGTATGTCCTGTCCCATCCCTGTGTGTCTCACCTCGTCCTCGTCTAGCATAAGCAGCTGGTTTCCAGAGATGATGCAGAATCGTGGATTCCAGGCTGGGCGTTCATAGGGAGAGTGCATATAGGGCATGCGGTGCATGGGGGCTCCTCGCACATCTGGGAAGGGGGAGAGGGGGTTAGAGATGATGCAATACGGAGTGGTGTCTTCCCGGGCAGACAGAACCCTCCTTCCCTCCCCACACACGCCCCTCCCTCATCGCATGCACCCCTCCATCCATCTCATCCCAAGCACACCCATCCCACACCACTCCCACCCTCCTCACCCATGGGCACGCTTCCATCCACACCCCGCCCCCCAAGCACATCCCTCCATCCATCCCCCTCACATCTCTCTCTCATTACCATGCTCCCCACCACCACTGTGGGGCATCAGGGACAGAACTGACCCACTGGGCCAAGGTGAGGAATGACCAGGTCACAGTCGCAGTCATGGCTGGGCTCCGCTCCCCTCCTGTACCCCACTTCCAGCCCAGCCCAGCGGGACCAGACCTCACAGCTCTGTCTAACCCTCTTCACTCCCAGCCCAGCGTCCCGATTTCTCCCATTAGCCCGAGTCTAGCCATGCCCAGTCCCATTGCAGCTGGTGCCATAGCCCCAGGGAGGACCGTCCTAGGATAACCTCATGATAGGAGACGTTCTCTCCCAGTCCCCAGTCATTGGGGTCAGATCACGCTCTGAAGCAGCAGGGTTTTGACACCCCCCTCCCGTTTCAATAACTGTGCCCATGGAACCAACAATCCACACAGGAAGATGCTGAAGACCCCAGAACAGCACCTAGAACAGTGGTTCTCAAACTTTTGTACTGGTGACCCCTTTCACATAGCAAGCCTGTGTGTGCGACCCCACCTTATAAATTAAAAACACCTTTTTACATATTTAACACCATTATAAATGCTG